TTTCTAAAGCTACTCTTTATCATTGACAACTAACTTGTACTAGTCTCACTGAAGATGAACAAATTAATAAGCAGCTTACTAAGTACTTGAAAGGGGTGGTTACTGGTAAATAAGTTTCTTTGGATTGCTTCAGTAGTGATGGTCAAGAAAAAAGATGGTATATGACATTTTTGCTTGAACTACAAAAGATTGAATGATAGGACAATGAAAAATATATTCACAATCCCTTATATTGATGATTTCCTTAATTGTCTTTGTGGTGTTTAATATTTTATAAAAAATGATTTAAGGTAAGAGTATCATCATATTTGTGTTAAACTAAAGGATGTTCCAAAAATTACATTCCAAACAAGGATTGGTCACTATAAGTTTTTGGTGATGCATTTAGTTTGACAGATGCTCCTACAACTATTTAAAGGGACAATGAATCAAGTTCTACAGCCTTATATGGGAAACTTTGCCATTAATTATTTTGATGATATTCTAGTGTTTAGCTCTTTAGTAGAAGACCATGAGATACATGTGTGAAATGTTCTGCAACTTCTAAGGGATCACAAGCTCTACTTGAAGTTATCCAAGTGCAAGTGTTTCTTGGAAGAGATTAGATATCTTAGGTGTTTGATTTTAGTGCATGGAGTGAGAATTGATGCCACAAAGGTCCAAGTCATGGTTAATTGGCCTATACCTTTAATAGTGCTAGTTTCCTTAGTAGGGTTAGAGTTTTTTGACAATTTGTGAAAGCCTTTATAGAGATAACAACTCCTTTGACCAATCTTCTCCAGAACATATTTAAACATGCTACTATTCATGGTTAGGAGGAAAAGTGTCAAGTGGCATTTCAACATTTGAAGTAGTGTTTTGTCTTTGCTCTTGTGTTGAAGATTTTTGATCTTAAGAAGCTTCTTGTGGTCGAGATAGATGCAAATGACATTTCTATTAGAGCTGTTTTGCTTCAAGTTGGGCATCCTCATACATACATGAGCCATAAGTTTGATGCTACACAACAGAATTGGTTTACTCGAGACAAAGAGTTATATATTGTGATTGTTGTTGTGAAGGAATGGCAACATTATTTGTATGGATAAAATTTTCATATGGATTTAAACTATTAGTCTCTTCAATATTTCAATTGTCAAAAAGATCTTTGAGGCCACCTTGCTCATTGGTAAGAGTTTTTTCTGGAAATATTTGTTAAAATCCGGTTGGAGGTGACAATAAACTGGCTGATACATTATCTAGGATGGTATATACTATTTTGTTTATGAAGCTATCCAATGTTGACTCCTTTATCATTGATATTCGCATGAAGGTTTTGTTGAGGGATGCCTTTACAAATTTGAAAGGTGACAAGTTGTGTCATTTGAGATTTAAGATGGAATCCTAATAAAGAAGGGATGTGGGGTGGTTCTTTGTATTGATAAATTCATCAAATATATTTTAGTTGAGTGTTATAATGTGCCAAGTGCTGGGCATCCAAGGGTATTAAGAACGTATATATTAGTGAAGAGGCATTTCTTTTAGCCTGGGATGAAATAAGATATTAAGAAGTATATATATGGTTGTTTGATCTACCAAACAATTAAAGTTGATCATCAGAAGCTCATTGACCTTTATCATTCTCTACATATACCTAAGAACAATTGTTCACAATAGCACTCATCAATTGGCTATTGGCATGTCTTCATTAAAGACAATGTATGGTTATAAGTTTAAATCTTTTGTGAGTTTAAGTTTGGCTTTAGTTTGGGTGCCTCATTCTTTGGAGAATATGTAAAACAAATTTGAGTTGGCAAAGTTAAATATGAGGCAAGCTCAAGATCAAGACAAAAGATTGGCTAATAAACATTGTTATCAGTAAAAAGTTGGTGATAAGGTTTTCCTAAAGCTATTAGATACACAATGGTCTTTGAAAGGAGGTGGCAGTGCTAAGTTCTCTTCATGGTATTGTGGGTTATAAACAATTTTACAACATGTGGTGGATTTTGCTTTCACTTTAGACTTGCTAGCTAGTTTAAAGATTCATCTAACATTTCATGTAAACAAGCTTAAAGCGTGTTTGCACTCTGGTGATGTTATGAATCAATCCATCATCCAAATCCTAAAGATTGCTCATTTTTTTGTTTCCATGACTGTATTGTTATACAAGAAAGCTATATTGTTTTCTTTCTTTTGTGGCCATTTGTCATAATGTTAGGTGTTGCCATTTGCACATCTTTTCTTCATGGCCATATTGCCTTGGACTCCTTTAAGGGTGCCATATCACTGGGTTATGAGAGACACAAACCACAATAAATATTCCAAGAATAATTTATGGTTTGTGGGATTTAAGGTTGTAATGCCTTAAGAGTTGGGAGGTTGGCCTAGGGTTTGTTCTTTGTTTGTTTTATGCATCTTGGTGAGGCATTCCTAGTTGTCTATATAGCTTAAACAAATTATCAAATTATGGTACAGACCTTTGATTTATTTTTGTGTCATAATTACATTTTGTTCTTTTGCCTTGTCATTCAACCTTTTCAGTGATTCTTCCCATTTTTCATCATCCTTGATTTACATCTCTTGTGCTTCACTCATATTGCCGAAGCACCACTACATACAACACACAATAAATTATTTAGTTTATGCTAAGATCACAACTTAATAATATTTAAAATGTATTTCAGGAGCTCCAAGTCTCTTGCCTAGAAAGAACATATCACCAAATTGTATTTGTGGGTAACTATGAAGTATAGGATCACAACTTTACATTTGTATGTTTAGGCTAGTGATAAGTTGGATCCATTCTTATGTCTGGTTTCAAATCACCCATCACTCATTGGCAACTTAATATATGTATCATATTCTCTAGATAAAACTTCTTCTCTTTAAAATATATAGAGCTTATTCTTCTCTTTGCAGTGAAGAAAGTAGCTAGCAAAATTTTCATTCCTTTTGTTCTTATTGCCACCTCTGTAACTGTAAGTTGTCATTAAAATCAGTCCACCAGATTATGAACATGGGGTATCACAAATGTATGGTATATACCCATTCTTCCCATAGACACGCATTAGAACGGAGTGTGCTTATTTCAGTTTCTTCAGAACAAAAGTTTGTAGTGCAGCACAGAAACCAGCCATCCTGCTTCCATAGATTGCATGGATCGTGTCACACTCTCGGGCCTCAAGTGACTATGGAGCACCAAGTCACACTCGAGCGTCTCGCAACCAGACCGCAGTTCGCGTCCAGGTCTGTGTTTGATCTTCCACACCTCCACACACACTTCCCCATCCCAGCTGCCAGTCCCTCCTGTTCCAGCCACCCCAGCTTGCGTCGTTCACGATCAGCAGCCGCCCTCTGCAGGGCACCGGCTTGAATGTCTTTAAAGAAGAGTCTGAAGCCGCCAACAGGACCACTCATCTACCAGGCGGTAGCAAAGCACCCGCATCGACATCCTCCGGTCGAGTAAATACCACACACCGCCGCACGCAACCTTTCTCCCACGCACAATCTCGCACTGGATTAAAAGAGTCTCCGTGCCCAAGGTGGAAACTGCTTCTCTCGGTCCATGAGTCGGTTGCGGAATCGTAGATCCAGGGGACCACCACCGCCACCGAAACAAGACAAGCTTGAAGCGGCCAGGGACGCATGGATCAGCCATCAAAACTAAGCTTGTGTCTCTGTCACTCTGGATCGTGCCCTTCTTGTAGGGAGCATGGACTTCGGTGTAGCGACCCGAGAGCGGATTGCCAACCAGGTAGCAGGACCTGTAGATGCGGTAGGAAAAGCAGAACAAAATTGGCCCATGATGAGGAGGAGCATCACAGCACTCGAGATTGTAGCCAGGCGGGATGCAGCCTTTGAGCGGGAGCAGCGAGAACTTGGTCTTCCCGGCCGACGATTCGCGCGCGATCGCCAACCTGGGCGTTCGGAGCCACCATATTCGCCAAGATAAAAAGCCACAGTGGTGGTGACATGCTCGCGGTGACTGGCCAGAAGCTCTGGGCTGCTCAGCCTGGAACTCCAGGTCCTCGACACCATCCTGGCGTTCATGAGCGATGGCGCGGGCAGCCGGAGAAGAATGTCGTCCTCGAGGAAGGGCGGGAGGAGGCCATCAAACAGTGGAGCTCATCTTCCCGATGGTGGCAACCTCGCAACACCACGGCCTTCGTCTCCCTGGAGGATATGGCTCGAACATGCCCAAGGCTTTCAGGCAATTCACATCCTCTGAGCTAAAGTCACAGGCTTCAAGGGTTTCGGGTATACCCAAGCAACCCACATCCTCTGAGTCAAAGTCATCGCCAACCTGTTGCTCGTGCGACTGCTCCATGTCTTAACCTTCTTCCTCTCCATAACCTTCCGGCCCTAACCCAGCTATATTTGCTCTGAATCCATTCAAATCAACTCGTGGGAGGATGGCAATCGCGGGGAAGCGAAGAGCTCACATTCCTGGCACTATGTTCCTGCTTGGGCAGGCGATCAAGTTCTTCTCGATCTTCTCGAACATTCTCTTAAGATTCTTGTTCGAAGAAATTCGCGTCGCCTTTGATTCTCTCGCGAAGATAGTGAGCGGTTTGGGCATCTTGAAGAGGCAAGTTTTTTATTTTACGAAAATGCCGAACGAGGTCGCTTGCATGCCACAGCCGCTGCGAGGATTTCATCGCTTGCCGGGGATTCTTCGATGTTATGCGAACCTCGGATCTATTCGCTCACCGATGGCTGGAGGACGGCGAGGAGCTCATCCACGCCAAGCCATTCTTTCCAGATCACATCTCCTGGGCTCGTTCCTTCCGGCTTGTGGTGGATCAAGCCTCTCGGGCAGCACACAACGATACGACGGTCTAGCTCGAGCTATAGAACTTCCAGAAACCTTGGAAGTAAAGAAGCTAGATCTAAGATCAGTTCTCCAGATAGCAGCGTCGGTTCTCCAAGCGAGATAGCAGCGAGGATCCAAATCGTCCTGGTTTATCCAAAGGACAGCTTAATAGATAGCTAGGCGGGAATGTAAGAATATTTTAGGGCTCTTCTATGGAAGGAATCGTCAGTACCAGCAGTGGCGGTGGCGATGGCGGTGCGTCTGCTACGCTCTTGGTGCGTCATCTCCCTGCGCTTCCTCCACAGACTCTCAAGAGTTTGTTCACGCACTATGGAGCTCTGGATCTTCGACTCTGTCAAGCTGGGAGGTATGTAGCTCCCTATACTCTTGAGTAAGAGCTCAGTGCCCATCTCACACCCTCATAGGCTAAAGAACTGCGCGTTTCTCGATTTCCCTGACGATGCCTCGGCAGCCAGAGCACAATCGCAGCTCCATCGGTATTCTTTCCTTGAGAATCTTTGTGTGTGGTCATTTAGATAATTGTTTCGTGCAGGGTGCGTTTTCTTGGCAAGACTCTGACGGCCGAGAAATCTCGTGCTCCAGGGGAAGACGACGCCACCAAGAAGTCGAGCAAAGCTTTTCGAAAATCACCCGATAAGAGTTTTCTTCCGCGATCGCATTCGTCTGCAGATCCAGTAACCGGCTCATTCGTGCGTGAACCAATTGCACCATCTCTTGGCGTCGACTATCCTTTTCCACCGCACCTAGAGTACGTCTGTGTATCTCTTCCCGATCGAACTCCTTTTTTTATTTTCTTATATGTTCCAGATATGCTTATCCTCCACCGGATGACAACATCTTAAGCAACATTTCTAGTGCTCTGATCGCTGTTCCAAGTTTTTACACACAGGTGTGTGGTTTTTCCTCTCTTATTTTGAACTTCTATTCGGTTTGGCCATGACATCTTTGCATGTGTCGTGAAGGAAGGTGCTACACCTGATGAACAAGATGAACTTGCCGGCTCCATTCCGTCCAGCGGTCCCTAAGCCACCGCTTCCGTGCGCCGCTGGTGCTCAGGAGCGTCCTCTAGATCTCGCGAGTGACGAGTCGGAGCTGGAATCTTCAGAAGAAGAGGTACTCACTTCACTCGAGAAATTCATGTATTGATGAACGATTGCCTTCCAGGACAATGAAGAAGGTAGAAAGAAGAAAAGAAGACGAAAGGAAGTGATTCTGGGTCCAGCAACAGCAAAGGATGCTTCTCATGAGGCTGCAGGTGTGAAGCCAGTCACGGATCCCTCCAAAGCCGTGACATCGATCAAGAAGAAACAGCCTGTTATTCAGGTTTGCTACTTAACTCTGATCTCCTCAGCTAGACATGGTATTTGCAGATCAAAATTCCTCCCAAAGTGGAAGAGAAAACCAAAGTAGAAGAAAAGCACGAAGAAGTCAGCCAAGATAAGAGATTTGCGACTAGGGAGGAGCTAGAGAAAGGAAAGCTCTCACTTGGAGAAGTTGCCAGCCATCCCGTGTTTAAGGTGAGATGTTTCTTTCGTTATGTTATTTCACGTGTTCTTGTCATTTTCAGAACTACTCGCGTGGAACTCCTTCTCCTGTTCTGTATATAAAAAATCTCGAAAAGGAAGTCGTTCTTGAAGATCTCCACTACGTTTTCGGTAAGTAACCCGCAGATTTTTAATTTGTTCCTTTCTGACATCGATTTTGCAGGTGCTTTCTTTCCAAGTTATGAAGAGGCACAAGCTGGACTGAATGTGAAGTTGATGCAAGTAAGAAACTTTCTCAAGGATTTGCTCCATGTACTCATTGGATTCGCAAATCTAACAGGAAGGTCGCATGAAAGGCCAAGCGTTTGTGCGATTTCCCTCTGCAGAAATTGCGGGAGATGCTCTGGTAAGTGGACGAGCTCGTTTTTCTTTTTTCTTTCAACACTGTTAACTTGAACTGACAGTTTCATTGCCAGGCTGGTGTTCATTCGTTTGTGCTGAAAGGCAAACCGATGGTTATACAATACGGTCGAAACAAGTAAGACTTCGCTTGCTACATTGAAAGCTCAAACTTCGCAGAAGATGTTCCTGAGAAGAAGGTAGCAGTCGCTGCTTCCGGCATTGTCATCCAGCACCACGTCTGCGACTCTAATTGCTCGCTCCAGATCGCGATAGATCCCACACGCCGCTAGAACAGTCTTGCAAGCCACCTCGTCCGGCTCAAAAGGCATGCTCGCCAGCAAGTCCTCGGCATCGTCCAAGCGTCCCGACCGCGCGAGAAGATCCAGGAGACAACAGTAGTGCTCCTTTCCGGGACTCAAGCTATAGTCACGCTGCATGGATTGGAAGTAGATCCATCCGCGCCTCAACAATCCTCCGTGCGAGCACCCCGTGAGAACGTTGACGAAAGAGATCTCGTCCGGGATCTCTCCCTGGAGCTCCATCGCTCGAAACATCTCCGTGGACTTCTGGCCGTGTCCGTTCCAAGCGTATCCGGCGACGATGCTTGTCCAGGATACGAGGTTTCTGACGGGCATGTCGTCGAACAGAACCTTTGCTTCGTCGAGCCTCGCGTTTTGGCTGTAGGCCGTGACGATCGACGTCCAGGAGATAACATTCTTCTCGGGTATCCGGTCGAAAGTTTCTCTCGACTCTCGGAGGAGTCCGTTCCTGGCGAATCCTTGCACCATTGCGTTCATGGTGGCGGCGTTCCAGCTCGGGATCTTGTGGAACGTTTCGCGAGCTTTGTCGAGGCTCCAGTGCTGAGAGGCAGCCACCACCATAGCCGTCCAGGAGAAGACGTTCCTCACGGGCATGGTGTCAAACGTTTTCTTGCAGCGATCAAAATCCCCATTTTGGGCATAGCCTGCCACCATGCACGTCCACGAAACAACGTTTCTTCCGGGGATTCTTTCGAAGGCCAGCTTTGCGTCGTCTAAGGTGCTGGAATCGACGTAAGCTTGCAGCAAGACCGTCCACGAGAATATGTCCCTCTGAGGCATGTCATCGAACGCTCGCTTTGCTTCGTCAAGATACCCGTTCTGGGCATACGCTGTCATGAGCAGGGACCACGTATACTTGTTCTTGTGCTGCAAACCAGCGAACACCCGGTAAGCATCGCTCAAACTCCCACACTTTCCGTAAGTTTCGATTAGGAGATTGCTGAGGTACCTGAATTCTTCGCCGCAAGTGATCCTGCGTTTCAAGAGAGCTTGGTCAATGCGCTGGGCCTGGAAGAGGTTTCTGGAAGTGCCACAGGCCCGAATCAACGAGGCCAAGTTGTCCGAATCGACGATTTCAAAGTTGTCTCGAATCAAACTCCGGAGGTGTCGCATGCTCTAACCGTCATCTACACTTTTCTTCGATTGCATCATCGTCGACTACTTCGCATGAAACTGTAAGCTTCTGTTCTGCAAAAGCTGCTAGGAACATTCCTCTTTTCATTCGTACTTGCTATACACTACTCTTGCTTCAGCTCGCAATTCCATTGTCAGCCTGCTCGTTCGTTTGTGCTGAAACGCAAAGCGCTGGTTACACAAAAATGATCGGAAGAAAGTTTGCCACTCACTTGTGTTGGTGGCAGCGGCAGCAGCAGCAGCAGCAATTCTAGCTCGAGCGCGCTCCAAAGCTTTCAATCGATTGGCTTCCATTCGGGCCATCTTCTGACCGTAGTCTGGATCATCCTTGCTCACAGGATTGGAGATGGGGGTGTAGTTCTGGTTATCCTGGACTGGAGCTTCTTGGCTTGGAATGTCCGGCTCAGGGAGATCCTCTACACAAAAAGAGGACGTTTCTAGCAAACAAAAAAGAAAAAAGAAAAAAAAACAAAAAACACACCTTTGAGACAATCCTTGGGATCATCAACTCCCTTGAAAAATTTCGTCCGGCATTCTTTTAGACGTTTCTACGAGAAAAAGAAGAGACTTCGATAAAAAAACTGGCAGCTGATTTGCATACCTTGACGCGCCTGAGTCTTCCAACCTTGGCCACTTCACGCGCGAAGCGTTTGAAAGAGAGACTGGGAAAGAAATTGCTGTGCCAGTGCCGATAGGCTCGCAGAAGATTATGCAAATCCCGGCCCTGGGAAATTCCATGGGAAAAAGAAAGACAAAGAAGAATGGAAGAACCCACCTCGTGCCCTCGCCCCTTGATGGGAAACCTGTGCGGGATGTGCTCCAAGACATAGCCAAGACCTTCGTTGGAGAAGAGAAGCTCGGGCGTGAGCTTTCGCTTCCTCCGCCGCCCAGGTTTGGGGGGCGGCGCGCTAGAAATCGGCGGCGGCGGTGGCGGCGGCAGGCCAGGCTTTGGATCGAACGAGCAATCGCGAGACCAGTGGCCGGTTCGCCCACACTTGTAGCATCCCGTTGGCGCACCGATCATTGTGCCCCCAAATTTTGCTAGGCTAGGGTTCTTGAGGGAAGAAAATGGCGGGAAACGATCAATAAAATTGAAATTAAAAGTAATTAAAAATTTAAATAAAACCTAGAAGGGGCATTCCGAGAATTGAACTCGGGACCTCTCGCACCCTAAGCGAGAATCATACCACTAGACCAAATGCCCAATTGCAAGATTCCTTACCACGCAAAGAGCATCTTCACCAGAGTCACATAACCTAAATATCAAAACCCTGGGGGAGGGTTTTAGGACAAGAAATGCTGCTCCGGCGCGGAGTCCAGGCGATGCGAGCAAGGATCGCTCCGAGCGCGCGATGGAGCAGCAGCAGCAGCAGCAGCTCCAGCGCGGTGCTGGAAGATAGCGATTGGTGGATGGTTGAGGGAGAGCTGCTGAGCGTCCAGGAGATTCGCACCGTCAAGAAAAAAGGGGAAGACGACGCAGCTCCATCTCCAGGCCAGCAGCGGTATACCAGGGTCAATCACCTCTCCACATTCCGGATTGATCCACAGAAAGAGGTAATCGCGTCGATTCCATTCTCCTCCTCACAGATTTCTCGCCAGGACAGGACCAGCGCCTCTACTGGAAGGCATACATGAACGTCTACGAGAAGGCGAGGGATGAATGGGAGAAAGTGGTGTGGGACGAGCCAAACGTTGTTCGCCGAGTGGAGGACTACTTCTTTGACGAGCCTCTCGCCAAGAAGAGGAAGAAGCCCAAGAGCGGGCAACTTGAGAGGTAAGAAACAAAGTGAGCGTCGTTTGTTCTTCGCTTCTCATGTGGTCTTCTTTCGCATTGGTCCAGGAAACCATTCTCCATGGAAGAAATCCAGGTTTGTTCTTTCCAATTAACTTTGATATGATCATGATCGTGATCGTGATCATGATCGTGATCGTGATCGTGATCGTGTTTTGCAGGCCGCCATCAGAGAAAACGTTCGTCATCCCACCTCGGATAAGAAGATCGAATACAGGAGTAAGAAATTCTCTCTCTCTTTGTTTTTGTTCTTGCGTCTCTCGAACTCGGAGCGTTGTTTCAGCTGCGGAGGATACCAAATGGCCGTTTTAGCGAGAGGAAAGACGAAGCTTTTTGGATTGAATTCATTTCCAAGTATCAAAGTGGCGAACCAGTTAATGATCCATCACTACAAAAATGTCCAGACCAGAGTAAATTACATCCTCGAGGCAACTCTCTCAGTGCTGCCCACCGCTTCCAGAGTATCCACACCGCCTCTTATTGACATGGGACTAATGCTCGCCCCTCTGCTGATCAAGTCGTGATCCAGGAAGATCACCACGACGGTTATGTCGTCGTGAAAATGCCTCCGGATCCCTCTGTCGATCTTCTTCAGGTCTGAGTATCGCATTTCACGCTTTCTGGCCGCCTCCTGTAACGCGGCTTTGATCAGTCGTCTCGCGATTCCCTGCTTGCAGCAAAACAGTGCTCGTCACTAGCTAGGAGAATCTTAGCGAAGAACTTACCGAGCGAGGATGGTTTTGGACAATGTCCACGGCCTCCTGGTTGCTCAGATGTTCCCACAGCCCGTCGGACGCGAAGATCAGGAAACGATCCATGGACTGGACGACGTGGACATTCACCGATGGCTCCGCGGTCAGCACGGGCCGACGCAGAGGCTCGCTGAGGCGGAGGCGAGGATTCAAAGGCTCCCGGTTATACTCTTGCTTCTTGAGGTAGAAGTCGCCGATGGATCTCGACACCTGCAAATCCACTTCCACTGGTTGGCAGGGAACAGGGAAGAAAAAACGAGCTTGAAGACTTGAGAGATAGTACCTGGATGATTCCCTTGACTCGCCACACTCCGTGCTTGAGCATGACGATCTGAGGGTCATCGGGGTGCATGGACTTGAGCTCGTGTCGTATGGCCTCGGAGCTTGCATTGTGTTCCACGGAAAGCTGGCCAGCGCCCACCTCCGCGTGGCTGCTTCTACTGCGCGACGTTCCAATCACTGCTCGAGAGTCGCCAACGTTGGCAACGTAGAGCATTCCTCCCCACAGGACTCCCACCAGGCAGCACGTCCCAACGCCGGCGGTCTGCGGCTTGACGTCCCACAAGCCCGCGACATGGTTTAGAAATCCTTCCTCGGTCGCCAAAAATGCCTTCCGCAACACGTCGATGGACATGGTCCCTTGCTGCTCTCGGACAATCTCTGCAAGAAAAAAAGAAAAAGAAGCACACGGATCTGTGAGTACGATGGAAACGAGCTTAAGTTACTGCTAAGCGAGATGAGAAAAGCAAACCAAGAGAGAAGAAGCATCGATCGCGATCACTTACTCTGGAAGTTCTTGAAGAGATGCTCGTTGACGTAGCGCGCGGCCTCAGGACCTCCGTGACCATCATAAACTCCGATAAAAGTTCCGTAAGGCCCCGTCTCGATCTGGCTCTGGTCCTCGAGCAGCGCGTTTGCCTGCACCACCGCGATGGAAAACTCCCCAAACGCATGCTGCCCCAAATCCCGGTACCATAGAAGCGCGTCATTGCGATCAGTCATTGACGAACTTCCATGAGTATAGCGCTCCACTGGGTGCCAGCATGCCGCCACAGTCTTGGCTAACCACGCCAGCATGCCTCATCTCATCGCCGCTCCTCATTCATTCTTCTTCGTCTTCCCTTTTCCTCCTCCTCTACTTGGCAAATCGCCCCATCACACCATCTGATCCCCCAAAAGCCGTGCGCGATCACGCCGCCCAAGCTTGCCGGACAAGGAATTCGGATAATCCGCGCCTAGGCCGCTCGCTCCACACCAAAACCCCAGCTCAAGAAATTTCGACTCACCGGACCTGGCAGATCCGTGCCGCGCTAGATCTGCGCGGGGCGAGGATTCAATTCCCTGGCGTCGCCGCTGCACGCCGCCGCGCTGCGTCGCGCAAAGCGCTGGATCGCCGCGAGCTCGCGCGATGTCGACGCGATACCTCGATCGGACGACCTGTTGTTCTCTTCTAGCCTAGAATCTGGGAGGAGGAAACCCTGGCCGGCCTGGCGCCGCTCGCTCACTGCTTAGTAGGCTTTGCTCGCGGTCGCCATAGCCAACAACAAGCAATCAAAACAAACAATAAAAGAATTTCTACACAGCCGTCACATCCTGTAGTGCACAGGGGAGGAGAAAAAAAGAAGGGAGAGACCCCGGTTCGATTCCGACCTAGCCAGCTCTAAGCTAGGGCTTTTGCGAGGTTGCGTCCATGGCAGCAGCCACGGCTCTGGCGCCCGGCCTCGCCAGGAAGCTCAAGAAGGTCCTGGAGACGCGCACCGATTCCCCGGATGTGCTCGCCTCGCTCGGCACGCTCTCCACATTCTACGCGGAGAATTCGGCTCAAGCGCGCCGGAATCTCCAGGCGACGATCGAGAAGCGGGGGCTTTCCATCAACGAGGAGTTCCTGCGGGCGTCGGAAGCGGCACAGAAGGTGAGTATTTCGGTGGATCTAGGCGTTTTGGAGCTCATCGGCGTGGATCTCTGGCAGGCCTTGGATGCTGTCGAGCTTGAAGTTGCGGGGCTTGCGGAGTCGTGCGAGAGGTAAGCTACATTTCTCCTGTGTGCGATCTGTCCGTAATGTGGAGCGATCTGGCTTCCAGAATTGCGAAATCTCTGAGTAGCTGTGAAGCGGTGACAGGGGATATTGTCGCCACCACTGAGAAGCTTAGATTGGATCTTGACAACACGAAACAGCACCAGGAGATCGTTGCCTCGTTTCTTCACAACTACCAACTATCCCCAGAGGAGGTAAGCACCAACAAACATACTAGAAGAAAAGATTACCTCCTTCCCTATTACCTGTGCTTCTCTTTTACTCAGGTGTATGCTCTGAGAGAGGAGGAACTCAACCAAAACTTCTTCAAAGCCTTGTCACGCGTACAAAAGATCCATGCCAATTGCAAGCTTTTGGTCCGAACACACCACCAGGTAACGAACTATTTCTATCTGACCGAATTTGGCGTCGTGACGAATTTTTCTTGTTCATAGCGCGCAGGGTTGGAGCTTATGGATATGATGGCAGTTTATCAAGAGGGCGCATTCGAGCGTCTATGCAGGTGCTTTTAACATTTGTTATCCGATCTGGAAATAGTGATCGCCTTGGTTTTCTTTTCAGATGGGTCCAAGCTGAATGCCGTAACCTCAGTGACAATGATCATCCGGAGGTTAGCGAGCTTCTCAAGACAGCCTCCAGATTTTTGAACGAACGTCCGGTTCTGTTCAAGTACTGCGCTGAGGAGGTAATGGAGATTTCTTTCTCTGTATGGAAGGTGACTGTAATTTGCGTTTGGCCTCAGGTGGCAAACACGCGGCACAATGCGCTCTTTAGGCGCTTCATCAGCGCTCTTACACGCGGAGGTCCAGGTGGTATGCCCAGGCCCATTGAAGTACACGCACATGATCCGCTCCGATACGTTGGGGACATGTTGGGCTGGCTACATCAGGTCCGTGTAATCTTCATATACCTGTTTCAAGTACGTGAGACTTGTATGTATTCATGTAGGCCTTAGCCTCGGAGCGTGAACTAGCAATGTCACTTTTCTGTCCAGATGCTCCTGCAAGTACTGGAGACTGGTCGTCGAAGGAAACCGATGAGTCGGCGTCCCATTTGCTATTTGTTCTGGACCGCATCTTTGAAGGCGTTTGTCGACCCTTTAAGGTGCGAGTGGAGCAAGTCTTACAATCGCAACCCAGTCTTATCCTTTCGTATAAGCTGTGCAATCTCCTCGGCTTTTACAGTCACATGGTAAGCTTTGTCACAGTTTTTTTTTGCCGGGGTTGGGCAACGAAGATTTTGTTACAGATTTCTGATTTACTTGGGAAAGAGGCTGCTTTGTCAGCTACTTTGAGGGACGTGAAAGAGGCCGCCGATCGGACGTTTTTTGATATTTTGAAGAGCCGTGGTGACAAGCTTCTGCGCTATCCCCCTCCAGTATCTGCTGATCTCTCTCCGCCGCCAGCGCTTGCGGAAGTTGTTCCCGTGCTGGTTGACTTGATTGATACTCACAACAGCATGATGGTCGCTGTTGGTGCCAGCAAGCCCGATTTCAAACCAGTCATTGCAGCTCTCGTTGATCCAATCATTACGGTAACTTCTTCTCTACGCTGCAGATTTGGTCTGGTCTTACGTGCTTTTCTCTCCAGATGTGTGAGCGAGCTGCAGCATCTTACGCTTCCAAACCTTCACACCAGCCAGTTAAACGACTAAACAGTCTAAACTTGGACACGGGAAAGGCTCTACTCAATGCTGCTCGACGGACCACTTCTACCGATCCGGCTGGTGTTTCACCATCCAAGTCACAGACCGAGGAGGTAACTTATCCAGCATGTCTTTCGATGGATCCGTGACAAAAGACTCTGCAGGATGTACCGAGCCTTCGAAAGATCTTCCTCATAAACTGTGTGTCCGTCATCCGACAACCACTGCTCTCGTACCCAGCAGCATCGGGCTACGTAGAGTCGCTGGAATCTTCCCTCGAGGAGTACATGAGCTACATCGTGGAGCACGAAGTCGCCACCATCCTCGAGAAGTGCAACCTCCGCAGCAAAGTAGCGTACTTGAAAGCAAACCCCGAGATGGGCGATGGCGGAGCAACGGCAAACGAACAAGAGATGGCTCCCTCCAACGTAGCAGAAAGCCTCAAGATCTTCCTCAGGCTGGTTGGCGAGGGGGCAGTGGCGGAGTTTGGACAGGTGCAAGACGCGCGGCTGAGAAACGAGGCTTGCGTCCGTGTAGCCAAGGAACTCGCCAGCGCCTACAAGCTCATCTACGACGCTTCTCCGGAGTACAGGTCGATCCTGCGGCACAGTCCGGAACAGATGCAAACCATGCTCCTGGGGATATGACGAGCGCTCGCTTGCTAGGGCATTCCAGGAGGCTTTTTTCTTCTCGGGGAGGATGGAGGAGGGTGGTGGCCATAGCTGTGACTGCTGCCGCGGCACGGCAGCAGTGGAGTCACTGGAAGAGATGGAATTTGCGAGGAGCTTGTCGGGTGCCGCGCACACTGGCGATGTAAAGAGAATGGAGCGGTTGCTCGAGAAGGGAGCCTGTGTCCAAGGTGGAGCAGCGGCAGCGTACTCGCCACTTCACTACGCCGCGCGGAATGGTCATCTGGAAGCTTGCCGGCTGCTACTCAAGGTAGAGTGAGCGCTTAGTTTTTCTTTCTTTCGTTCAAGCGTTGTTTGATCTTTGGTGTTGGACAGTTTGGAGCGGGCGTGGATGCTCGGACGAGATCCGGCAGAGCGACGAGCCTCCATCGCGCGGCATTCGCTGGTCACGAAGACATTGTTGCGCTGCTGCTCGAGAGTGGAGCCGATCGAGACGCGGTGGATTCCGACGGCCACACTCCTCTCCACAAGGCGATGATCCAAAACCACGATAGAGCTGCGCTCCTCCTCTCGGACAAGAAGAAAGAGTTCCTGGATTAAGCAAGATTATCGCTTTATTGATGTAGATGTGAGAAGAATCTCACTCAATGGTAACATAAAATAACGCGCTATTTAATGGAAGCTGCCCTTTTAGGTTAGGTCATTATGACCGTTTAGGCATTTCAAAATATGAGCGATGGCAGCTTCTAGCTCTTTCCCTCCTCTCTCTCTCCCTCTCTTTCACTCACATTGGATCGCCATGCCAAAGCTCGAGGAGGAGGAGGATGCCGCCCCCATCAGCTCGTTCACCAGGAGCAAGCGCAAGGCCGAGGGTGAGTGATCAAGCTAGATTTCTTTGATCTCTTGTGGCTGGCTCACAGCGCTAGCCCTTGGGCCTTGGCAGGGATCTATTTGTCACCAGCTCGCAAGCGCGTCTCTGGAGGCAAAGCTCGCGAGGATCGCGACACACTGTTTGTAGATTTGGAGTGCCAGGTGAGAGATTTTCCTTTCTCTCCTTGACTTAAGTTTGTTTCTCCCTTTTAGCCGCCACAAGAGGAGCGGTACTCCCTAATGGAAACCATCTTCTCTCCTGTTCTTCACCTGTTTAAAGGAATCGGTGGAGAGTGCTTCTCGTCTTCGAGCAGCACCGCCACCACAGGTATGTATCGCTCAGTTTCCTCGCGCTAGCTAACAATCACTCTCGGGAAACCACAGTGGTCATTGAAGCCGCCAGGAGCAATCACGACGACAAGGCTCGTGAACTCTTGCGTGATTTCGATCCTTACTTGTTCATCAAGCATCTGCCAGATCCCTCCCTGGTTCTCTCGCCATGCCGGAAGTTCTTACTCCCTCGTCGGACGAGACGCTGCCCTCCAGTTGCCTTAGTTCTTGACCTCGATGGTAAGCGGAAAAAGAAGCTCTTTTCCATTTTTTTCTCATAGATTTCCTTGTTTTGGCAGAGACCCTCGTACACTCGACAACGGATCACTGTGGAAACGCCGACTTTAGCTTCTCGTTGCATGCCAACTTCCAACGCCAGACCGTCTACGTCCGTCGCAGGCCTCACCTCCAAATGTTTATGGAGAGAGTCGCCCAACTCTTTGAGATCATCGTTTTCACGGCGAGCCAGAGCACGTACGCGGAGAAGCTGCTCAACATCCTCGACCCCAAGCGGAAGGTTTTCCGGCACAGGATCTTCCGGGACTCGTGTGTTCTCGTCGACGGGAACTACCTCAAGGACTTGAGTGTTCTTGGCCGCGATCTCTCCAAGACCGTTATCGTAGACAACTCTCCACAGGTATGTCCCGGGTTTCCTTTCTCAAAGCTTTTACTTTGCTCAACGTTTTCTCGCTTGCTTCTTTGCTTGCAGGCATTCGGTTTCCAAGTAGACAATGGCATTCCGATCGAGAGTTGGTTTGACGATGAAGCCGACTGCGCGCTTGCATCACTGCTGCCGTTTCTCGAGTCTCTGGCCAGCGCAGAGGACGTGCGTCCTATAATTGCGAGCACGTACAAGCTGCGCCAAAAGATCCAAGCCGCCAGCGATCCTCCATGGCTGAGGCATTGCGTACACGAGAATGAAAAGCAAGCACAATAAGTAAAATCACATTGTAATTGGTTTAGTTTTTAGATCTTGTCCAGGTATGTATGCAATGACAATGGATTTTATCATAGGACTCGACTTATCTATCATTTTTGTGCATTTAGCACTTCAAGTTCACACTTTTACCGTCCCGACTTTCACATTTTCACCACCATTTCCGGATCCACTTCCGCTTCCTCTTCCAAATCCGCTCCCTGAGCCTGAGCCATAACCACTTCCACTACCCGAGCCAGATCCCGAACCTGAACCAAAGCCACTCCCAGACCCGGAACCACTTCCGAACCCACTCCTACTCCCCGAACCACTTCCAAAGCCACTTCCCGAACCAGATCCACGTCCAGTTCCACTTCCGTAGCCACTCCCCGAACCAGAACCATGTCCGCTTCCTGAGCCTGAACCACGTCCCGTGCCTGTCCCACTCCCTGTTCCACTTCCGAAGCCACTTCCAGAACCCGAACCACGTCCAACACCTGTCCCGCTCCCCATGCCACTTCCGTAGCCACTTCCAGAACCCGAACCACGCCCAGTTCCACTTCCGAAGCCACTTCCGGAACCTGAACCATATCCAGTGCCTGTCCCGCTCCCCGTGCCACTCCCTGTGCCACTTCCATAGCCACTTCCAGAACCCGCACCACGTCCAGTGCCGCTCCCAGTTCCACTTCCGAAGCCACTTCCGGAACCTGAACCATATCCAGTGCCTGTCCCGCTCCCCGTGCCACTCCCTGTGCCACTTCCATAGCCACTTCCAGAACCCGCACCACGTCCAGTGCCGCTCCCAGTTCCACTTCCGAAGCCACTTCCAGAACCTGAACCATATCCAGTGCCTGTCCCGCTCCCAGTTCCACTTCCGAAGCCACTTCCAGAACCCGAACCACGTCCAGTTCCTACACCAGTTCCACTTCCCGAACCAGTTCCAGAGCCCCTTCCTTCACCAGCATTATGTTTTAACCCATTGCCTTTTTTAAGTTTTGCAAGACTTTCATTTTTTGTGACCTCGAGAGATTTGTCCCGGGCATCCACAATGCAGAAGAGTGCAAAGAGAAGCAAGATGCAAGCAACTCCACCAAACTTGATAAGGCTCTTGCTGGTGCTACTGGATGCCATTTTGGATTGGCACATTTCCAGGCTCGCAAGCTGGGAATTTATTTCGATTTGCAAAGACTTTTCGTAGCCACCATTAAGCCCACTATGAAAAGAATATAAAGAAAGAAAAAGTCCAGCTTGACATATGATTAACACGCTCCACAAAGTAAAGTTTCAAGTCAAATGTTCTATGATGTCTGGACAATTAAAGGTAGTGACACAACTTAGAAACATCAGGAACTTTTATATTGGAATCAAAAGTAGCTATATTTTGGTCATTAGTGCTTCTACTTGATACTATAAAGTGATCACGTTTTAATGCTTGTGACCAGGACCCGAGCTTCCAGATCCATAGCCATAACCATATCCAGAGCCACCTCCAGAGCCACTCCCATAGCCATAGCCATATCCCGATCCAGAAGATCCAGCGCCAGAACCAGATCCAAATCCACCACCGCCACCTCCACTTTTGCCACCACCGTGGTGGTGATTACTGCAGGATGACTTGTGTTTGTGCGAGCCAGACGAAGCATAGCTTCCACTCCCGCTTCTCGCGTCTTGGCCGGAACCAGATCCAAATCCATAGCCACTTCCAGACCCATGGCGGCCAGAGACATGGGAATGAGAGCTACTCGTTGAAGGACCTCTGGAGCTTTTCTTGTAGTGATCCTCCGCCATCCCTGGAGCTACCACCAACAAGACGAGCAAGCAAGCCAAGAACAAGATGAGAAAACTACTATTCGCCATGGTGGATGTTTGTGAATCCCATGGCTTTTTATCCCAGTAGCGATGGTGGAAGTCATTATTCCTTCTCTTTGTCTAGTGGGAATTCCACCGACTTAACAGCTCGGTGATTCTCGTTTGCTTGGCGATGCCGAACGATCAAAACTTTGATTTATGAAACCGGGATCACGACATCAGCGGATCATCTAACGAGAGTGATGCAAGATCCGGCGGGATGAGCCTCTGTTGCGAGTCTCTCAGCACCTCCATGGCCTCGGAAACCTTGAGATTGAGAGCTTCGGGAGACTCGAGCAAGTGAAGTACCTCGGTTTGGTCCATCTCCAGGAGCATGCCCGTGATCTTCCCGGCGTGGTTGTGCTCTATGCAGTCAACCAGTGGATACAGCTGCTCGCCCAACATCTGCAAAGAAAATGAGAAAAGATCGTCACATGAATCGGTACTTCCCCTTTGCACTTACTATGCGTTGCTGCTCCGGCGTTGCGGATGCCAAATGAGACGCCAAGACCGCCAAGAACGAGTTGTTTCCGTACGCAGGCGTCCTAGAGTTGCTACCGTGGAAGGTGCTTTCCCGTTGCATAAACTAGATCACAGAACGAAGTTGGATCAACAACACAGAGTGAGAGCAACACACAGACCTGCTGGAACGGGACCCTTGCGTGACCCTGCTGCCTTTGAGGAGGAAAGAAACCGGGCATCTGTCCAACATTGGGCCTCACCATTGCAAAACCTGCAGGCTGATGCGACGATGTGTGGAGAAGCCAAAAACTAGATCAAGTTGCTTACCTGTTGAGGAACCATTGGTGCTGGCCGGCTGTAAAGAAGCTGTTGTCCAACTGCGGAATAGAGCGGCGGTGGAGGAAAGTTGACGGGGCCTCGTGAGGCAAACTGCGCCTGGGAAGATAAGAATCACACAAGAATCAGTAGGAGGAAAAAAGTGGCGATTGTCCTGTGGACTACCTCTAGTTTGGCTTTCCTCTCTTCTTTCTTCTGTGCCATGGCAACGTAAAGAGGCTTGCTTCCAATCATCTTCCCGTTCATTTGAGCCACCTGCGAGACAAAAGAGTAATCGTGAGTGAGGCCGTCCGGCGTACTGGTTTACTTACTGCTCGGAGTGCCGCGTCGGAGGTACTGAAGGCAACGAACCCGGAGCCTTTGCTGTGCCCGAGAGGGTCCCTCATTACCTTGCACGAAGTCACGTTTCCAAACGCCGAGAACATGTCTTTGAGCTTCTCATCGTCTATGCCGTCGTCCAAGTTCTTGAGATACAAATTCGTCGGTGACTTGTCCTCGGTGTCTTTCCGCTCGTGCTCGAACTTGGCTTTCAGCTCCGCCTCCCTCTCGTTCTTCTTCTGTGCACGGCTAACGTACAGCTCCTTGTCCTGGAAGGTTGTCCCGTGCAGATCTTCCACAGCCTTAACAGCGTCCTCGGGGTTCTCAAAGTTGACAAAGCCGAAACACTTTGACTTGCCATCCACCTCCTTCATCACCACCGCACTACTAATGGGACCAAAGACCCCGAAAAGCTTCTGGAGGTCCTCGTCGGTAGTGATCTCGGACAGGTTCTTCACGAAAACGTTGTTGAACTTGGAAGCCGGGGGGTCTCTTTCCTGTCGACGAACAAAAGGTCCCACAAAGAGCTGCTTGTCGTGTAAAGTTGTACCATTGATCTTCTCAATCGCCGTGTGAGCGGCGTCTTCGGTGTCAAACTGGA